TGTCCACAAGACGTCCATTGCTTGGTCTACCCTTGACGCAGAACCACAGACGTCTCCGCCACCAATGGTGCAAAAAAGAAGGATGTGGGTGGCAGATTGGAATGAAGTTGTCTTTACTGACGAGTCACGCATCTGTCTGCATCACCACGATGGTCGGATTCGAGTCTGGAGACACCGTGGAGAGAGGATGCGGAACAGCTGCGTTATGCACCTCCACACTTTTCCTGCACCGGGTATTACGGTATGGGGCGGTATTGGATATCACTCTCGCGCTCCTCTAGTACGCATTGCCGGTACTTTAAACAGTAAGCACTACATCTCCGTGGTGTTGGAGCCAGTTGTCCTTCCTTACCTTCAGGCCTTGGCCACAGCCATGTTTCAACAGGATAATGCGCGACCACACGTGGCACGCATTGTCCAAAGGTTCTTCGTCAATACCCAGATTGAATTGCTTCCCTGGCTGGCTCACTCTCTGGATCTTTCGCCGATAGACAACATGTGGTCCATGGTTGCTCAACGATTGACCTAGATTACACCCCCAGCTGCCACACCAGATCAACTTTGGCAACGTGTGGAAGCTGCTTGGTCTGCTGTACCCCAGGAACACATCCAAAGTCTCTTTGAATCAATGCCTAGGCGTGTGGCAGCGGTGATCTCCTACAATGGCGGCTGCTCTGGCTACTGATTCTGGCAGGAGCCACACTTCACTGAAGTCTATAAATTTAATCATTTGATACTTGGTCAACATGTTATCTACAAAATAAATTTTGTTGTGCTATCTCTTGTCTTTCTTGGTGTTGCATTTACGGTGGCCAGCAGTGTAGATACTTGAGGATGATATAGCCACATTAATTTGTGCTGGAATCATATTGCCGTAGCCACTTTTACGTTTCAAGTTAATAAGGTAACTAGTTTTTTTACAATGAAAAGGACGACGAAAAATTTAAGAAAAAATTTCAACGTAAATATATGAAACATTTTATTAAACTCAAACAAAAATACGCTAATTACGCTTCGATCTCTTTTAATTATTTACTTAAACGAGTATTTTTCCATTGAATCATTTTTTGTCGATATATCATTTTCTAATACATCGGAAATTTCGGGGTAAAAAATATCCTTCATTTTGAATTTAACGGTAAGTGCCGCAGCTAAAGAATCAACATTCAATCTTGATTTTCCCTTTTTCCACAAATCATTACCAACTGCAAAAACTCTTTCAACTGCAGCATCAGTTTCTGGGCTACACAACGTAAATTCAACAAAAATAGCTAAATTTTCATATGGAATGTGTTCATTTTTGAAATGATTAAATATTTCAGCCCATTAATTTATTTATCGAAATTATCGGAAATTATTAATTTTTAAAACCCATACTAATTTTTCTTTTTCAGTCGGAGATTTCGAAAATAATCCCTATTTTAAGCTTAATTTGAATTTTCTCTGCACTCCTAAAAATAGATGAAGCCGAATTGTTTTTGCCGCAGACTCGTGGCGGATATTGTTTAAGCGGAAAAGATTGAAAAACCTATCACGAGTAGAGTTTCTGATTTCAAAGTTTTTCTTTTTCCTGGAATTTTCGGGGAATCTCGGAAACAAAATAATATTTTCCACTATTTCCAGGAATGACAGTTCTAAATCTACAAAGTCTAAAATTTCAAAAATCTGAAATTATTATAAAAATTGAAAAAATTTTAAAGCCTCATCCAGTTTTATTCTATTTAATTAAATTTCCTTTGCTTCAAATGGCAGCATTTCTTGCTTGCTAATAGAATAAGATACGACTTTTTTTTTGTCTCTGAATGTCGTTTTCTAATTTTTCGCCCCCCCCCCCCAACGTTGAAGATTTCTCTTCCAAGGTTTCCGTGCTTTCTTTTGAGTACGTTAGTGATTCATTTTCCTCGATAAAAAGCCTTGTCATAAATATTTCAGTTCGTTGAATTAAAGAGTTTTTATTTGGCAAATGCGGAAAATCAACAATAACTTCAGTAATTTGTTTTCTCCCAAAATTAAATAATCATATTAAAATAAAATTCTCCCTACTATTTTTAACCAGAGAACATTTCATATTTTTCGCAAAATCTAAATTTTATTGGTTCATTGTTTCAATAACGATAACAAATACTCTGGAAATTAGTGACATTTTGACTGTGTAGTTTTCCTAAGATAAAGTTTTACTGACATAGGGCCTACTAACATTGTAGTTTCAGTTTCTACATGTCAAAAATTGGTTATTTTTTAACATTAATTAATGGCATTGAAATTGCTGATTTCGCCTCTGAAAATTTTTTAAGTATTGTCAGAAAACTTTCAAAGGGTTTTGTTGTTTAAGTAAATAATCTTTTTTCGCGATCAAACTCGGGAGTTACATAATTTTTATAATATATTATTGAGGGGATCTTAATAATTTCAAAACCTTTTATTTTTCGATTGTTTTTTTATAAAAGTCACCTTTTTTCCCCTGGATAATCAAAATGAAACATAGCATCTGATGCTAGGCCACCTAAGCCGAATGCTTGTGTAAATCTTCAATTAAATCCTCACTTTCAGCAATATCGTCTTCATGTGATATATTTTTTATATCAACAGTGCTTTACCAAAACTTCAATTTTTAGCGCGTTTTTCACGTAGTGGAAAAAAAGCGCTATTAGGACGCAAATTTCGTCTTCGTTCCATATTTTGTCGTACCTTTTTCTCAGCCAATAAGCAACCAATTGACCTCGGGTTTTCGGCATTAGGTCGCCTTTGTGCCCTAGATGAGCCGAATCATGTTTAAATTTAATCATTTTTAAATTTTTTTTTAAGTACAGTACTACTTTCTATTAGTAAAAAGTTCATTAGTTGCATTATTGTAAAATATACAATAATGCATGTGAGAAACGCGCTAAAATTACTTGGCCATGCCAATGATTGATATCTTGTTTTTAAATTTCTACTATTAGTTCACACTCTTCCTATATATATATACATACATATCTATACAAATAAATAAAATTGAAGTGTCTGTTTGTAATTTCAAATTAGCAGCTTTTTACTTAATGCACGAAAAGTATATACGGTACTCATAACAAAAACCAATTTTTAAAATTTTTGTCTGTCTGTCTGTCTGTCTGTTTGTTCCGGCTAATCTCGGAAACGGCTGGTGCGATTTTAAAAATTCTTTCACTAATGGGAAGCTACATTAACGGGGAGTAACATAGGCTATATTTTATTCCCGTATTCTTACGGGAACGGAAACTATACGGGTGAACGTGAAACTGAATGCCAAGATGAACGCCAAATTGAACGCCAAGCTGAGCTAACGAAGTCGTTGTTTTGGTTACTGGCGACCGATGCTCTTCATGAGACATAACAGTGTTACGCGCACATCATAATTCGCTGACACGTGCCATAATTTTTTTTTTTAATGATAGTTATCTCACTGTTCAGTTAAGTAGAGCATCGGCTGTTTCGGATGCACTTTTAAAAATAATAAATCAAGGCTTCATAAGCAAAAAGCAATGCAAGAAACAAAACAATTGATAAGTTTTAATCCTTTCTCTTTTTTTATTTACATTTTTAGTCACATTTAAACAATAGTTATTATTTGCTTAATATTTATATTGTAATCGAAGAATAATAATTTTCAAGGTATCTTTCATTTTTCTACCTCTCTGTTTTTCTTAATTCAAATTGTTCTTAATTTCTTAATTGTGAGTTTTTTTAATTCGTTATATTTAAGCTGTTTTAAACTTTAACAGCTGAACTTTAAGTATAATAATTAGAAATCGATGTTAAACATTGTTAGGTTTTATTCATGAAAATATTTCAGATTTTGATAAAAAACATAGCATTTATGATGATGTTCACAATCTCAATATAAAGAAGATTCGTGGTTGTGTGAAAGTTCCATTTTAGCACCTATAAACGACCAGGTTACTACGCTTAATCAGCGCATGTTAAATAAGCTTCCTGGTGAATCACAAACATACCTTTCCATCATACAGTTTACAATCCGGATGAAACGGTTAGTTATCCAACAGAATTTTTATACAGTATAATTGTGCCTGGTCTACCTCCTCAAAAGCTAGAACTTAAGTTGGCGTTCCCATCATACTACTCCGTAATTTAAACCCACCAAAACTTTGCAATGGTACTAGGTTGCGAGTAGTGTCATTGCAAAGAAACGTTATAGAAGGTCGTATAATATCCGGATGCGGAAAAGGTAACATAGTACTTATACCACGAATTCCCATAATACCATCGAACTTCCGTTTGAATTCAAAAGACTACAATTCCCTGTAAGTGTCAGCTTTGCTATGACAATTAACAAGTCACAAGGGCAAACGTTAAGCAAAGTTGACATAGATTTAACTAAGAGTTGCTTTTCACATGGCCAACTATACGTGGCATGTTCACGTGCGAGGAATGCCACTGGCATTTTTGTTTTAGCTCAAGAAAATCGTACACCAAATATTGTATATAAAGAGATTTTTCAATAAATTTAATACTGTATATAGAGGATGTTCAATAAATTTATACGAAAAAAAACACACAAAAATTAACAAAAACAAAGAAAATAAAAAAAATAAAACAATAAACACCAAAAAGCAGAAAGAACACAAAATATAAAAACAAAACATTGATTCACAAAGTAAAAAAATGACATTAAACTCTCTCTCTCTCTCTATATATATAGCGTGTATGTATTTCTTAACGTGGAATACAGAATTATTAAGTTTTCGTAAGATCTGTGAATTGAACAAAACACTTTTTTGAAAATTTCTACGTGAACGAAGTCGCGGGTAACAGCTAGTATATATATATATTGCTCAAATTTTCAATTGTTAATAAATCGTTACTTTTTATTCATCCTCTCAAGTTCAAATACGTTTTTTTAAACTTGTAGTGGATGACACTTGTTGATAATACAATTTTTTCAAATATTAGTTAATGAATAAATAGTAATAAACAAAAATAACAGTCCAACAACGTATATAAAAATAAAAACCTCGCTATGTATCCTTGTAGCGCAATGGAGAGCGTGTTGGACATCTAATCCAAGGGTCGTGTATTCGAATCCTACCTGGGATGACCTAATTTCTGAGAATGTGATTTATGTGTGTGTGTGTGTGTGTGAATGAATAAATAATAACAAACAAAAAATAGTCCAACTCCAGATATAGAAAGGAAAATGGAAAATAGCTTTCTATTTTGCCACTTAATATTGCGATTCTGTCATATGTATATGCATATTTATATTAATTGTAATTATTTAATAAAAAGTAACTAAAATAAAAAAAAAAATTTGTTGACCAAAGTAGGAATTGACTTTAAAAATTTTTTGTGTGAATATTATTTGTTTATTTCAAATACGATCATGTATATGGAGTTCGCGTAGCATAGGTTATATTTACAATTTATTTTTCCATACTTAATAATCATCATATGAACACCATAAGTAAAACATATCTACGTGCTTTTCAACTGTGATTCCTTTAGTTTAGCCTTTACTGCCTTTATAACATAGTTTTCTGATTATTTTTTTTTTGATATTTACATTGCACACTAAGGCAACACGAGCCACCTGGCAACGAATCTCGTAATTCTGAGCCTCCTTCAAGTGAGGAGAGCAACATTGGAGCTGGGATTCCCCATTCCTAACTTCCATGCCACGTCAAAGTGAGGATTTAAATGGACTCCTGTACATAGAGGGTCTTTAGCGGCTCTGAACTTCGAATCCGCTACCTCGAAAATGTGAGTTACGAGTTCACGACTGAGCACGAGCACTCGGTTACCACAGCCACAATTTTCTTCTGAAGAATATCCCCTAATTCCTGACCTTCCATAATTAAAGAATTTACCTATACATTGTGAAATAAATGTTTGAAGCTACAACGTAGTACACACGTGATCAGATTTAAAGAAATTTTATTTGCAATTTGAAGTTTAATCGAATCAAATTGCTTAAAGTATTCAACTCCCCTAAAATTGAGAATTTTTCAAAATTTGACAATTTTTTATTTATTTTATTTTATAGACCATCTTATTAGCTTTATAAAAATACCAAGTTTATTATTTTTCTTTCACTAGAACAAAAACTACAAGTGTTTTGGTAAAAGCAGATGCCATTTCTTTTTAAGCAAGATGTCATACTTTAAAACCCGTTTTACTCAAAATGTGTTTTTCTGAAAATACTCGAACGGGGTCAGTGATTGCTAAAATGTTTTAAAATTATTTAACTGAAATGTTTCTATATAAAAGGAGAATTGTTTCCGGTTCCAGGCTTATGGTCATTCTCTACATTTCTTCTTTGAAACTTATGTAAATAATTTCTGGACTATCCGCTCACTTTTCGTGCCCGTAACCTGCTCTTTGTTGACATAGGACACTGCTGCAGCCAAGCCATAATTCATACTGAATCACGATTCATACATGTGGTGTTGCTCAAACATGTCCTCAAATGTTTCCAGTGCCCCAAATGGCATTTATATAGTGTGTGGACTTTACCATTTCACGTTGTAGGGGTGGTTGGTGGTGCATCACCTGACGTCGTCTTCTTCGTCATCTGACTGAGGTTTAAAATTACGAGATCCGTCGCCAATAGCTTTTGTGGTGGTGGTATCTATATAAGCCAGTAACTTCCTCCAGACTGAAATGATCATTTTGGTTCAGCGGTAAGGTGGTATCGAGCGGTATTCTTACGGAATGGAAGGTACCAAGATCTCCTTCATTGGTGACATTGGGAGCTTTGAAAAAGAAATCGCAACATTCGCGCAGCAGTCGTGGTGCCATTTATCCACCGCAAATGCAACCAAGCCGTCAGACACATGTCGCAACCAACTTGCCGTCACACCCAAATGACACAACCAACTAACCGTCACACCCAAATGACGCAACCAACTAGGCGTCACTCCTAAAGGACACAACAAAACAAGCCGTCAGAACCTAATGGTGCAACCAACTGGCCGTCACACCCAAATGACGCAACCAACTAGCCATCACACTCAAGTGACGCAACAAAACAAGCCATCAGAACAAAATGGCGCAATAACACGTTCACCATAACGATATCGTTCGTTTGCCTACCGATTCACTGGTTGGGGAGTGTGTGGTGATAGTATCTAAATAAACCAGTAACTGCCTCCGGACTGAAATAATCAGTTTGGTTCAGCGGTAAGGTTATGTGCTTACGGAACAGAAGGTACCAACGAGATCGAATCTCCTTCATTTTCGTGTTACTACAGATTGCGATGTAAATTAAAATCAAATCTAATAAAAATTATGAGGTCCAACACCAATATCTCTCACATTATTGTCAAGAGCGACTTTAATAAACAATCAAGTAAACAATTTCGAAAACTAAACTTATTTTAAATTTTGATAAAAAATCTACCCTTTAGTTTATTAGTTGCAGAAAACGGACATATATTTTCGGGATTTTACATTCCCTTTTTTCACCTTCCTCTCTATTATGCCCCTATTTTATCCATTCCTTTATATGCAGATTTGTCTTTTTCCTAATTTAAAGGAATTTACTAAACAACCAGGAAATAAAATGAATTTCTAACATTTATTATTTGAATATAAAACTTTTTCAATATATATTTCAAGCACTTATTGTGTATTTACTCTGACAAATCAAAGGGAAGTTTCGTGACAAACTGCACATAAATTTCTACTCAAATATCGCAAACTAACCACTGCAACCGAACATTCAGCACTACTCAGTGAAGGATGGGAGCATGGATTCGAATATTTTGACATGTATCCTCGCATTCTTGTGGCTCCCTCCCCACTCCCGATTTCATTCGAACAAAAGCGAGACCGAGTGCCGGGATCCGGTTGGAATGTGTCGTGGAACGCGTGTCCCGCCGACGTGCATTGGTGTTGCCAGATTCAGTTAATAATTTCTAGCTTTATCGTTTGGGGTAAAAGATTTTAGCTGTACGTAATACAGATATGAATTCAGTTCGAAAGAGAGGTGGATATGTAGAAAGCTTTAAATAGATAATGAAAACTTCATAAAAAGGTACGTCACTGAAGATAAAAATTTTTTACGGAATAATAGACGGAATCAAACTTTTGAAGCCTATAGATTTTGTCAATTCTATTATTTTAAAGAAGACATTCCAACTGACATTAAACTAGTCACATTTTTATACCAAGTGATTATAAGATTTTTCTTTGAGACAAAGTATAGTTATATTTTTATGATTTTTAATGAAATTAAGAATACTCAAAGGAAAATATATGATCAGTAGAGCACACGAGGGGAGGGGACCCTTCCAAAACCCTTGAATTTATTTCCGATTTATTATCCTATGTATATAGTACTTGTTATTAATGCTAGTTATTCATTCAATAAATTTTTTACTGTTTTTTGTTCCCGAAAATTGACAAAATCAAAATATGTTGGGCGGCGTTTTAGAGCATGATACGGTGGCCGCGGTAGTCTAGTGGTCAAGGTAACGGACTCGTGATAGGTGTGTTATGAGTTCGAGCCCAGTACCACTAAAGACCAGCCGTGTAGGAGAGTGATGTACGTTAAATCTGTCGAAAGCTCAAATGTCATCTCGTTGGTGTGGTAGTTAGAAGAGGGGTGCCACCTCAGGTGTCGTCCTCGTCACTTGACCATGTTCAAAATTACGAGGTTCAATGCCAAAAACCCTCGTGTAGCTGAACAGTGTGACGTTAATATTCACTCAATCAATGAATCAATAGAGCATGATACGATAATGGTGAATTTTTGACTCTGGATCTCCCCCCCCCCCCCGTCCCTTGAAAAATTCCTGAGTGAGCCACTGTATATGATTGAATATTTAATATATTTCTTTTAAACTGTATCAATATTTATTTTTAATTATCAACCCTAAAGGGCTGTTGTTTTAGCTACCAATGATTTGTATTTGAACACGTGTCAATTTTTATGCTTTCACCAATAAATTAGTTTAATTTTTTCAAAAATGTATCATAGCAGAGAGATAAATTTCTCTTATAATGTGTATTAGATTAATGTAAAACTCATACTAATATTAAACAACATTTTATCAATCAATTGATGTATTACAGAAAGTTATACTTTATCAGGAATTTAAGATATAGTCGAAAAATAATCAAATTATATTAATAATCTTTCGACCCCATTGTGATACTGCCTTTTTCCCCCCTCAAGAATCGTGTCTTCGTGATTTTGGCTTGTTTTGGCCTATTTTTATCTCAGACGATCTTTTCCACAAAAATTTATTTGCCTAAGATAGAGAACTTGGCGAAAATAATTTTTTGAAATCGCTCAAACAGTAATTGTAGTGGATTTCTATGTGTAATCAGAACAAAAAAAATTAATTCGATTGTTTGACTTATGAATTATTAATTGCTTTCAGAAAATTAAACTTTTAAAAATTTTATCGTGTGTATATGTATTCCTTTAGGGGCTAAAACTGTTCTTTGTGAAGCGTTGCGTATAACTTTTTTATGTACTTAATAACTATTTAGTGTTAACAGCAACTTAAACAAGTACATATTATATTAATATATACTTTTATTATACTAATATATACTTAATATAAAATAAATACTTTGAAAATTTAATTTCTTTAAAATACTCCAAGTTAATATTTTTCCCTTCGAGTGGCTATTGTAGATGCTTGTACATATCGAGGGGGAGGGGGATGTCTTATCAAGAATTTGTTTAATTTTTCTTATTATTCGTTGAAACTTAAAAAAATTTTTTGATGCTGTTATATGATTTGTATGTTCAATCTATGAGATTCAACAGTTTCTAATATGAATATAATGCTATTATTAAATCTCATATTGATTTTGTATCTGTGGTAATTTTTGATATTTATGCAATACTTTTAAAAATAAATAAATTCGAAAATTAAGGAAATTTTTTTATTATACTGTTGTTTATTTATTTTTTTTTTGTGTGTGTAAAAAAGAATTCTCAGTGAAAAATGCTTTATTATATATTCAGCTGTCTTTTAAAATAAATTTTTCATTACAAATGTTTGTTTATAGTTACAAATTACAATAGTGAGATTAATCAAATAAACTGATATTAATTAACGGAATGTTAAACAACATATAAA